TCCTGCTAAGGCTGAGGAGATGTCTTTTTTTTGTGATATATCACCAGCTAAGCATCACGATATACCAATATATCACTGTTATAAGAATTTAAGGTCCCAAATGTATAAATTAAATGTTCATAAATTTACAAGGCAAAAACATACAGTGGGGGGGGGGGGAGTATTTGATCTCCCTTACGGCAGGTGCTTCTAATCTCAGCTGGTTACATACAGTGAAGATACCAGGTAGCCGGACATCTGGCTGGTTGACAGGGGATCAAATACTTATTTGACTCATTATAATGCACATCAATCTCTGACTTTTGTCTTCTGGGTTTCTGGGGGTTTTCCTGTTGTTATTCTGTCTCTCACGGGTACGATAAACATACCATTAAAATTATGGACTGGTCATTTCTTTGTCAGGGGGCAAACAGGCGAGTTTAGCAGGGGATCAAATACTTCCCCCCCTCACTGTACATAAGTATGTAAACTACGTGTCTGAAATAGTACAGGAGAACAATCCTGAAGCCATTTTGACTCTCCCAAATTGACCTCAAATGTTTCTCTGCAAGGAGGAAGGAAATGGGGAAAGCTTTCCTTTTTTATAATATTTTTAATTGTCTTTTGCTTACCTGTTTTTAGGGCATCTTTGTGTATGAATAGGGTCAGCCTGTGTCCTGGATTCAGGAACTGAGTATTTACCATTGTTGTAAACAAAAATTGCCCTTTTCCCTTATGGGGTATCCAAGAGCCCATATAGAGTCCTTACATAGGTTCTCCATCGGTAGGAGAAAATAACAGAGGCCAACCACAAAATAATGAGAAGCAAAGCAGCTAGTAAGCTTGATCTTTATTGATCTGTTGCAACAGGGTGCTCCCCTCACCCGCAGGAGAGAGGAGGAACCCAGGAAAATGGCGCGCAAGGCACTCGAACTCAGGACGCAAGGGAGAAACGTGCTAAGAGGAAGGCATGCTTGGCAAATCCACACCGTGATCAGCTACCGCCTGGAAACCAATGTCCCCACTGTGGAAGGAGGTGTGGATCCAGAATTGGCCTCCACAGTCACTTACGGACTCACTGTTAAGACCATGTTCATGGAAGACAAGCTATGAGTAATAATAATAATAATAATTTATTATTTGTACCCTGCCCATCTGGCTGGGTTTTCCCAGCCACTCTGGGCGACTTCCAAAAAAGATTAAAAATACATTAAAATGTCACACATTAAAAACATCCCTGAACAGCCTTCAGATGTCTTCTAAATGTCAGGTAGTTGTTTATCTCTCTGACATCCAATGGGAAGGCGTTCCACAGGGTTGGAGCCACCACCAAGAAGACCCTCTGCCTGGTTCCCTGTAACCTTGCTTCTCACAGTGAGGGAACCACCAGAAGGCCCTCGGCGCTGGACCTCAGCGTCCGGGTAGAACGATGAGTTACCGCCAAGGAAGAACACCATCCAACTCTAAGTCCTGCATCTGCATGCACCGTGAGCAGAAGCCAAGGAGACTCCATCAATCCTAACCCTACCAGCGTGTGTCCTTAACATGCTCTCAAGAATACGCAGCTGTGACCAAATCGAGGCAACCTTTTGATTGTGCACTGATGACGGTTTGCGCTCATTACGTTATTGTGGAGGTCAGACACGACCTCACTGCCAATACTGTTTGTGCCTGCAAATGTTCTTGGGTGGGCAAGCATTTCATTTCCAGTCGGTACAAGCCCTGAGGCATCCCAGTGAAATCCTGCAACGGGTCAGGCTGAAAATGTCCACGGGGATTTGTTCCACTTTTTTCATTCCTAGCACAAGAGATCCCCCCTCCAGATGACAAAGATGGGGTAGCACTGTGGAAGCATTGCAGAACAACTAATAAACCAGAATAATATATAGATGCTGCCGTACAAATCCATCACTAATGCAGTATTATTGCATCAGAAAATACCTACAAATAATATTAAAAAACCCTACCAGTCCAAAGGGGCCCTGCACATTTCATCTTTTTTTACTTTTTACTTTTAAAAAAATCATGTTTCATTTTTCATTGAATTGCAGAATTGCAGGGCCTTTGACTGACACCCCATGCCCTTTTAAACATGTTGTGGAAGGAGGGTCATTGGGTTTTGTTCTTAATTTTTATTATGGATTTTGTTTTTTTTATATTGTAATTTTATGTTGTGAACCGATCTTAAGATCTATGGGCATAGGGCAGTATGCAAATATTAATTTTATTATTATTAATAATAATACAACAATAACAATAATAAGAATGGAACCCATGCGTCATCTAGTCCAGTGCCTTGCAATGCAGGAACCATACATATTCTTTCATTTTCACATATACAACCTGAACAATATGTAAACAGTACAAGGGGGGAAAAGCAAAGTAGATTAAAGCACACGTTGCAAGTTCACTCTGGGGACAGAAGTTGAGATGTGGAACCTAAAAACTCTGCAAGGAGTACAGCTATGGATGTCATTAATCCTAGCTTATGTTGTTTTTACAGATCCAGTGCAGGACTTTCATCTTAAAAGACTGCCAACCAAGCAATATGAGAGAATGCTGGTGAGGGGCAGGCAAGAAAGAAAGAAAGAAAGAAAGAAAGAAAGAAAGAAAGAAAGAAAGAAAGAAGAGTCCTGGAGAGGAGACTCTGGAAAGCTTTAAGAGTTCCAGATTTTTGCATAATGCGCTGGCAGACCCCTGATGCGCTCTTGCTCATTTACATCACAATTAAAGGCACCCCAAACATTGACAAAGCTGCTGTGTCCTCTTCACGCTTTGGAAGAACAAAATCCTGCTAGAAGTAATCAGCGAGGAAGATGGCTGCTAGACAGGGAGAGCTGCTCTCGTGCTCAGATCCTGCTTGTGGATTTCCCCTTGCGGCACCTGATGGGTCCCTGGGAGAACAGGAGGTTGGATTGGATGGGCCATGGCCTGATGCTCTAGTGTGCTCCTTTGGACAAGACAGCTTCACAATCCATGGTTTGGCTTGCTTTATAATAATCATTTATTATTTCTACCCCACCTATCTGGCTGGGTTTCCCCAGCCACTCCAGGTGGCTCCCAATGCCCCTTATGGGAAACCTGCAAGCAGGACAGAACACAGGATGATGATGATGATGATGAATACCCCACCCATCTGGCTGGGTTTCCCCAGACACTCTGAGCGGCTCCCAACAGAATATTAAAAACACGATAAAACATCAAATATTAAAAACTTCCCTAAATAGGGCTGCCTTCAGATGTCTACTAAAAGTTAGGTAGTTTTCCTTGACATCTGATGGGAGGGCATTCCACAGGGCAGGGGCCACCACTGGTTCCCTGTAACCTCACTTCTCACAGGGAGGGAAGCGCCAGAAGGCCCTCGGCGCTGGATCTCTGTGTCCGGGCTGAACGATGGGGGTGGAGACGCTCCTTCAGGTCTACTGGGTCAAGGCCGTTTGGGGCTTTCAAGGTCAGCAGCAACAGTCTGGGGTTTTTTTGTTAAATCGTTTTTATTAATTTTCCAAAAAAAAAAAAGCATCCAATTAACATATCAAATCATAATCCAATTAAAATAAAAACTAAAATAAAAAAAGACCAAATTATCATCCAAATTATAATTATTAATTTTACGGGACTTCCCATAGTCTGGACCTTGAAGCATAGCTCCAAATCTCAATCCTGCCTCTCCTCGTTGTTTTTGTATTTCCACATCTCGATTTTAACACTTTTAAGTTCTCCGTCCCTGGCTCTCTGATTCTCAATCACGTCAGACATCAGATATCCTTTCATCCATCGAGTACAGCTTTATTTGTATATATATATATCTATCTTTTTTCGCACTGACACTTTGAATTGTGCTCAGAAACATACTGCGAGCCAATGTAGGTCTTTCAAGACCGGTGTTATGCATTCAACGATGGTTTAGCATTGACCATGGTTATTTGCAAGGCTACTTCTCAGCTTCTCATGTTCCCTTTCATTAAGATGTGAAACAAATTAGAATGACACTACAGTGGAACCTCGGCTCCCGAACGCTTTGGGAGTTGAACGTTCTGGCTCCTGAACAAACGAAAACCGGAAGTAATTGTTCTGGTTTTCGAATGTTCTTTGGAAGCTGAATGCCCAGGCTGGCTTCCACGGCTTCTGATTGGCTGCAGGAAGCTGCTGCGGCCAATCAGAAACTGCGCCTTGGTTCCCGAAGTGTTTCAGGAATTGAACAGACTCCCACTGTATAGAAATTTGTGCAGGAAGTTTGTGCTGGCTGAGGCTTGAAGACGTGGCACCAGGTTGACAAAAGTTATTCTACAACGTTGAGAAAGAGAAAAGCCCACTTCCACTCAGCCTTTCCTTGCCACCCACCCACAAAACCCTTGTTCCTATTTTACTTGGACCCCCTTTTTTTGGTGTGGGGGGGGGAGACTTATCAGTGGATCAGAGCACAGCTGCCATGCCTTGCCAGGGCTCAAAGACTGGAATGGTTGTGGTATTATTATTTTTTATTTTTTTAATGGGCCAGATCATATGCTTTATTAAGCAAGATCTAAATCATTCCTGCCCTGCCAGGGCCCTTTGGTATGCGCCAGCCATTAAACACACAATTAGCTTGCATTTACAAATCTGTAAAAACTGCTCTGGCCGCCCATTCCTCAGCCGCTGCTTTGAGAGGGGTGGGGGAAGAGAATTATTTCTCCCTCCAGCTGAGCCCATCCTGCACTGTTGTCTCATTAGCAGAGGCTGCTTCAACCGGCTAGATCCATTTCTTCCCCCAAATTTAAGTCCCAGGAAAAGTGGGGGCATTTACCGCTCTGCTTCCACTCAAGACCCTAATGAGCAGGGAGAGGAGTGAGTGAGCTCCGCAACGCATGAATATTTTTTGACAACCAACTTCTCTCCATCCCACGTCACAGACAGGCGAGGTATCAAACTGCTCTACTCTCAACCTCTGAATTGGCACATACAGGCTTTAGATTTCTCAGTTTGGACATTCCACATAGATCAGAATCTCAGAATAGATCAGAACCCCCCCTGTAATGCAGGAATGAATATGCAGGGATAGAACCTGCCACCTTGGCATTTACAACACCATGCTCTAGCCAGCTGAGCTATCCATGAAGCCCACCGGCTTATAGCCATCTTCAGATATCTCAAGGGCTGCCCTATGGGAGGTGGAGCAAGCTTGTTTTCTCCTGTTCCGGAGGGTAAGACTCGAACCCATGGCTTCTGCTGCTCCAGAGGGGAGAAGGACCTGAACCAATGGATTCAAATGACAGTGACAGCTGTTCAACAGTAGAATGGACTCCCTTGGAAGGTGCTGGACTCTCCTTCGTCGGAGATTTTTAAGCAGATATTGTGTGGCCATCATTCATGGATGGTTTTACTGTGATTCCTACATTGCAGGGGGTTGGACTAGATCATGGGTAGGCAAACTAAGGCCCGGGGGCCGGATCCAGCCCAATCGCTTTCTCAATCCAGCCCGCGGATGGTCTGGGAATCAGCTTGTTTTTACATGAGTAGAATGTGTCCTTTTATTTAAAATGCATCTCTGGGTTATTTGTGGGGCAGAGGAATTTGTGCATTTCCCTCCCAAAAAATATAGTCCAGCCCCCTCCCCAAAGTCTGAGGGACAGTGGACCAGCCCCCTGCTGAAAAAGTTTGCTGACCCCTAGACTAGATGGTCCTTCAGGGTCCCTTCCAACTCTACAGTTCTATGAGTCTATGATGGAGAAGGATTCAGAAAGGGACATTCAGACTGACATCAACCCCTTAGGATGTATAGGGATGAGAACTAGAGTATGCGCATTTTGGTTTTGACACATAGTTCCAACACCAACCAAACGGTGGTTTGTACAAACCACAATTTAGCATCGTCATCATGGTTTGAGCTTCCAGGCAAGGAGAAGGAGGAGGTAAAGGTAAAAAGGTAAAGGACCCCTGGATGATTAAGTCCAGTCAAATCTCGCTTTCAGGCCAAGGGAGCCAGCGTTTGTCCACAGACAGCTTTCCAGGTCATGTGGCCAGCAGGACTAAACCACTTCTGGCGCAGCAGGATACCGTGACGGAAACCAGAGTGCACGGAAACCCCATTTACCTTCCCGCCACAGTGGTACCTATTTATCTATTAGCACTGGTGTGCTTTCAAACTGCTAGGTTGGCAGGGGCTGGGACAGAGCAACGGGAGCTCACAACGTTGCGGGGATTCGAACCACCAACCTTCCGATCAGCAAGCCCAAGAGGCTCAGTGGTTTAGAGCACAGCGCCACCCGTGTCCCCTAGAAGGAAGAGGGGACCCCTTCCCAGGATTAACAGGGTCCTCCTCCTACCATCAGCCTGGCAACTTTCCTTTCCTAGCCCTCTGGAACAGGGGTAGCCAACCCAGTGCTCACCAGAGGCTGTTGTGCTTCATCCTCCTTGGCCATTGATCATCCTGGCCAGAACTAAGAAGATGGGACACCACCAACCTCGATGGCTTTGAAAGAGGATTAGACAAATTCATGGCTACTAGTGATGCCTAGTAAGATATTAGACAGCATCTTAAAAAGTAGAGACATCACCTTGCCAACAAAAGCCCGTATAGTTAAAGCTAAGTGAGAGCTGGACCATGAAGAAGGCTGATGGCCGAAGAATTGATGCTTTGGAATTATGGTGCTGGAGGAGACTCTTGAGAGTCCCATGGACTGCAAGAAGATCAAACCTCTCCATTCTGAAGGAAATCAGCCCTGAGTGCTCACTGGAAGGACAGATCCTGAAGCTGAGGCTCCAAGACTTTGGCCACCTCATGAGAAGAGAAGACTCCCTGGAAAAGACCCTGATGTTGGGAAAGATGGAGGGCACAAGGAGAAGGGGACGACAGAGGACGAGATGGTGGGACAGTGTTCTCGAAGATACCGACATGAGTTTGACCAAACTGCGGGAGGCAGTGGAAGACAGGAGTGCCTGGCGTGCTCTGGTCCAGGGGGACACGAAGAGTCAGACACAACTCAACAACAACAACAACAACAACAACAACAACAACAGTGATGACGGCTTTGCTCTGCATCTGAAGGGGAGGGGAGGGGGCTCCTGTGTTCGAATCCTGCTTGCTCAAATCCCATGGGCCTCTGGCTGACCACTCTGAGGAAAGGATGCCACTGATGGGCCATTGGCCTGATTCAGAATGTTCCTCTTCTGTTCTTAAGTCAATGAGAAGTCTTGTTTCTCAGAGAACATGCAAGGGCAGTTCCTTCTGCTGAGCTGGCAGGGAGGAGAAAGCAGCCACACTTAACTATTCACATGTGGGCAGAGAGAGCCATCATAAACTCTTTTTTCTCCCTCCGCTCCTGTCTGTTTTGCTCTGGGCCACTAATCCAATTGAGCCGGGCTCCGAGCTCGTAACAAAAGCTACGAGACATTTGTCAGATCTCTCGACTAGACCCGTGGCTAATTTTACAACATTAATTTATCTTAGCATATTATATCGCTTTAATTTCGTCCCTCTGGATCCCATTACCACCGCCGTACCTTGTAGCCGGCGTGTAACGGTAATTGCCATTATTAGCAGCGTTCCGTGGGCTGGAGCAGCTCCGCAAATAAAGGGAGCAAGGAAAAACGGGGAGTCACCAGGTCGGCGGGGGCTCCGTGCGAGGAAAAAGGAGGAGGAACGCAAATAACTCCGGGGCTGAGCTGGGGGGAATTGTAAGGTCACCGTAGCACGGGATTAAAAAGGAGGTAACCGGGGGTAGTAAAGCCTCAGAAGAGGAAAGGGAAAATCATCAGGGAGAGAGGAACATAGGAAGCTGCATAGTAGAGAATCATAACATCACACAGTTCTAGAGCCAGAAGCAGGATTCGAATTCCACCAGGCGCATTTTGCACCTGTCTGTCGGCTGCTCGCAACCAAGTGAGGATGCCCTGGCGCCAGAACGTTGCATGACATCTCCGCCATCTGGAGGTACAGATGGATCTTTGGGTCTTGCCTGTTTTCACACATATTAACACATCCCGTAGAATTCTATCAGTTACCGTATTTTTCGCTCCATAGGGCACACCGGACCATAAGGCATACCTAGTTTTTAGGGGGGGGGAATAAAAGGGGGGGAAATATCCCCCCCCCCAGGTCCAGGAGCTTGCAGGGCTAGGGACGGGGAAGCCTGAGCTTCCCCCGACCCCAGCCCCCAGAACAGGCAGCTATCCGCAAGCCTTCCGAGCGCAGTGGGAACTCCCGCCACGCTCAGAAGGCTTGCGGATGGCTGCCTGAAGCCTGGAGAGCGAGAGGTGTCGGTGCGCACCGACGCCTCTTGCTCTCCAGGCTTCAGCAAAATCCTGCATTCGCTCCATAGGATGCACACACATTTCCCCTTCATTTTTGGAGGGGGAAAAGTGCGTCCTATAGAGCGAAAAATATGGTATATTTCATCTGCACAATCAGAACGAATTTCAGGAACCAAATAGTCATATTGAAAAACACTATTTTTTAGCCGCCTGGCCCCAAAAGATAGATAAATTAAACTTTATTCGCATTAGCCAATGGCCATAGCAACATAAAACAAGCAATATATGCAAATAAAATATATACAAATTAAAAAGACAGCAATGGGTAAAAAGGGCAATCAAATGGCCAAGATTATCGTTCGGATAGTGGCCCTTATTCTCATTGCACCCTCGATAAACCTAGCAACCTTTGCTGTTGTCTGATCATTTTGCTGGCCCCAAAATGGCAACTAGGCCTTCCGTTTTGGCAACCCTGGTTTAAGGAGCAAACTGGCACCTAGCTTATAGATCTGAATTTCGAACACTGGCCAGAAGGGACCTCAAGAGTCATCTAGTCCAACCCCCCGCAATGCGGGAATCTCAGCTAAAGTATCTATTTGATGGCAAGCTAGATAAGAGAAATGGCTACCCAGTCCATCGCATGAGCTCAATGGAGTCCCAAGGAGACCAATCCGGAAAGATATACCTGCTCCTTACAATGAGCCTTGGGGTGCCCAGCCTGACCCCCCACCCATCACAAGTCCCCATGCTACCTGCCCAAACGGGGGCCAAAAGCGGAAAGAGCAGCTCACATGTTTGACACCTTTTGCAGGTAGCTCAGAAGCAGGCAAACTTAGGCCCGGGGGCCGGATCCGGCCCAATCACCTTCTCAATCCGGCCCGCAGACGGTCCAGGAATCAGCATGTTTTTACGTGAGTAGAATGTGTGCTTTTATTTAAAATGCATCTCTGGGTTATTTGTGGGGCATAGGAATTTGTTCATTTTTAAAGATAGATATATATATAGTCCGGCCCCCCACAAGGTCTCAGGGACAGGGGGGTTTGCTGACCCCTGATTTTGACAGACATTCGCTGGACTAGACGCTGTTGTTTGGCCAGAGATTTGGGGGCGAAGAGACAGAAGAGCAGTCACGCATGTCTCTGCATCCTGGTCTTAAACAAACACGAAAGCCTTTCTCTCTGAATCCTACAAGCAGGCAAGTCCAGCCTGAAATGTCAAGCTTGCTGACATAAGAAGCCTCTGCCGTTCATACCTCTGGTGCTGCTCAAGTGAGGCAGCAATGAGATCGAAAGCACAAGAGAGAATCAGAGTCGGAAGGGACCCCAAGAGTCATCTAGTCTATCCCCCTGCAATGCAGGAATCCCAGCTATAGCATCCCTGAAAGATGACCATCCAGCCTCTATTTTAAGAGCCCTCCTACTAAAAAAACCAGCAGTGAGTAGTTCCTCCACCTTCAGGGGCTCATGTGGGGGTAAGACCGAAAGTGAGAGGAGGCCTTCTCTGTGGGGGCCCCCAATCTGAGAAATTCCCTCCCCACAGAGGTGTGTTTGGCACCTTCATTGCGCAGTTTCCAGAGGATGCGTAAGACAGATTTCTTTGTCCCATCCTTGGACACTTGAGGTGCGTGTTTTAAGGCTCATTTTCTATGGTTGTAAGTTGTTTTAAACTGTTTTCAATGTTTGCGTATTTTATTGATTTCATGAACTCTATATATACACCGTTTGATTGTTTAAAAAAACTTAAAGTGGCTGTGTTTCATTGTTGCTTTAATGTTGTAACTTGCCCTGGGACGTTAGAATGAAGGGCAGATAATTAAGGAACAAGAACAATTTAACAACAGCAACAACACCTTGGCAGGTG